ATCACATACCACAATCACCACCACAAACTAATTCTCTCATTCTCAAGCAGCCAAATATTATATATCCAAATCATGCAATCCTTCATATTAGTTACTTGAGTTAATCTTGATACAAATATATTGAGTGAACTAATGTTCTTTTGATTGTGAAGTCTTGGCAACTGCCACATTGAGTTAATTGCCATGAAGTGTACATCGTGAAATCTTCCTAAGAAAACTGAAAATAAATAAATAAATAAATAAATTATATCATTGTAAGTGGCATTTAATTTTGAGTTTTGGTGTGAGGCTTTCAAACCCTAATTTTTTTTTAGGTATTTTTTTAAAAATATTTTTGGTGGCTTTCGTTGGTTTCACTATTATATTTACAATGACTACCAAGATGACTGTGAGTTGGCATATCTTATGAATTTTAGAAATAAATAAACTTTTGGTACAATCTACATATATTTTGAGAATTTTCTAATTTGTGGGGTTACTAGCTCGACATTCTCTTCGGGCTTCCATCCTTCTTTAGGAGAGGCCTCCGAACGGATTCCCTTGACTTGGTCCTGATTCTTTGATTGCTATTGGGGAATAGCTATCTCTTTTCCTTTTTGGTCTACTCGGCCGTCAGGAACAGGATTTGCTTTCTCCTCTACTTGTTCTACTCCCTTCAAATCTGCCTGATCCTCTGCCCTCAAGCTGAGTATTTCCTCGCCATTGCCTGATCGCTGTTGATCTGGCCGACACTGCCCCTAGTGATTGGGTAGCAAATTTTCTGATGCGTAGCGGAGGTGATGGCGTTGATATCCATGGTTTGCCCAGAATGCCATTGTAGGGTGACACTTCATCGATGACCATGAATGTTTGCGAGCTAATTATAGGTAAGGGCACGAGATTTTCTGCCGAAATTTCAGCAGAATCTCCCCTGTAAATTGAACATTTCCCAAAAATTCCAACTTGCATAAAACACATTTGATATCCCAACCGGCAACACGCACAAGATAATTTCATGCAATTCACATAATCGGCCTCCGGCCTTTAAATAATAAATGCCCACCATAATCAATATAAAATAACTTCCCAAATATCCAACATACGAGGTTTTAACCTCCTGACACAATCACATCTCGTTCTCACCCGAATTTCAGGACCAACGACAAGGTCCTCACCACATTCAATAAAACACATAAGCAAGGTTTAACCCGCGGCTGCATCTAGGCATCACTCTAGGCTGCCTACGTACTCTTGGCAGATTCACCACCGCTATGAAGAAGTTTGGTTACCAACATGCCAATATTGATCGTACTCTATTCATTAAACATAGGGCTGGTAAGGTGACTTTGTTGATTATTTATATTGATGATATGATTGTGACTGGTGATGATACTATAGAAATTGAGAGACTGCAGAAACGTTTAGCATCTGAATTTGAGATGAAAGATTTGGGCAGTCTGGAATATTTTCTAGGAGTGGAAGTCACTCGATCTAAACATGGCTTATTTCTTTCACAAAGCAAGTATGTCATGGATCTGCTAGCAGATACTGGAATGCTTGACTGTAAACCAGCTGATACACCTATTGTTGAGAATCATAAACTTGGTGTTTATGTGGATAAGGTCCCAACTAATAGAGAAAGATACCAAAGGTTGGTTGGAAGATTGGTTTATTTATCATTAACACGCCCTGATATTGCCTATGCTGTAAGCGTTGCTAGCCAATTTATGCCTTCACCTAGTGAAGATCATATGGCTACTGTGATGCGTATTCTGAGTTACTTAAAGTCTGCTCCTAGGAGAGGTTTATTATTTAAGAAAAATGGTCACTTGGATCTAGAAGGTTACACACACGCAGATTATGCAGGGAATATTATAGATAGACATTCTACATTAGGTTACTTCACCTTTATTGGTAGTAATTTAGTTATGTGGCGTAGCAAGAAGCAAAACATTGTGTCTCGATCCTCCGCAGAGTCGAAGTACAGAGGGATTGCCCAAGGGTTTTGTGAAATATTATGGTTGAGGTGGTTACTTGCTGAAATTGGCTTTAAACCGAATGCTGTTATAAAGCTCCACTGTGATAATCAGTCTGCATTTGAAATTGCTAATAATCCGGTGCAACATGATCGAACTAAGCATGTAGAAGTTGATCGGCATTTCATTAAGGAGAAGCTGAAGCATAAGTTAATTTCTATACCTTTTGTGCCTTCTTTAGAGTAGCTTGCAGATTTGTTGACCCATGTCGTGTCAAAGCGTCGATTTGAAGACTCACTTGACAAGTTGGGCATTACTAATATCTATGCACCAACTTGAGGGGGAGTGTTGGTGTGAGTCAACATTCCTATTAGGTATAGAATTTATATTTTATTGTAATTATCTAATTTGAGTAAAAGTAGGAGATTTTGTTTTCCAATGATCCAGGCAACCTATTTTTTAGGTCTTCATTCATCGATCATCCTTACAAAAAATTAGAAAAATCGGAAACTGTTTCGACATCTAATTGTGTCCTTCAAAATCAATGAACACAGTGCTTCTAGAAATTACTAAAATTTCAATAACTTCATTGAGTGGTCAAATGATATCGGATTAAAGTTATTTTTTGTAGAAATGATCTTTGAATGAGTATCCACAAAATAGACAAATTGGATTAGTGAGATACAATCCCGAGTGGGCTCTATAAGGAGTGTCCCTCAAATAAGGTTATATGAAGAATCCCTCAATGAAAGTTATAATAGCTGAGAAGTGCATCATTTATGTCCCTAAAATATACCCTTAGAGCTTATTTATTTACTAATTTATTTATTTTGGTCTACTATATTTTTAATTTTTCAAATAAAGTTTAATATTATTTTGCATTGACTTTTGCCAATTTTATGTAGGCAAATAATATTGGAATTATATGGGTAGCTTACTGGAGTGCAAAAGAGATGAAATAAAAGAGAAAACTAAGCTAATTGATTGGAGACTCATCATGTGCTAAGTAAGAGACCATGACTTATCAAAAGAGGAAGCTGACGTGCATGCATAAGACTGTGGAGAAGTTAAATTCAAGGTGGAAAATAAATCCTAAGTGGTTAGGGGTTTCATGGATATAAAAGGGAGCTACTTGCTCTGTCTCAGATATTCTACTTTTTTTGGCCCAAAAAACTTTGTTTTTCTAGAGTTATTTTTCTTTGTTATGGAGAACTAACTCCCTAGCTAAGGCTAGGGGGAAAGCCTTCGAGATACTATGTGGTTTCGTTAGTTTGATTCTAATGGAGCTTTAATGTTAAATTCTTATTTATGGATTTGTTCAATTTAATTTTAGTTTTTCTCTTTGATCGATTGATGGGTGCTTGATAATCTTATTCATAGGTTTAGTCAAGCTTTTCCTATAGTCTAGTAAAAACATCCATGCTTTTAAGATTTGAGAAAAATTAGTAGATTGCTTTGATTTCATTGAAATCATTTCTTGATAGGTTGTTGTTGTAGGTACAGGTTATACTTGAAATTCCCTCTAAACGAAATTAAATTGGGTTTTAATTGTGAACAATCATAGTGAGAATCAAACTAACGGGATTACATATGTATTTTGAAGGTGGAACCCCGACGTCTTAGTGTTTTATTATTATTGAACTTTCTTCTAATCTTTTAATCATATTATTCTTGTTGCAGTTATCTTACATATCTTGTGCACTTTAACACCGCTCTC